CGCCCAGGCCCAGAGTTCAGGCCCACAACCGGACCCAAAAAAAAAAAAAAAATTCAGTTCTACCTACCTACTCGGAAGCTGAGATCTGAGGATGGATCATGGTTCAAAGCCAGCCCGGGCAGGAAAGTCTTTGAGACTCTTATCTCCAATTAGTCACCAGAAAACTGGGCGTGGTGCTGTGGCTCAAATGGTAGAGCACTAGCCTTGAGCTGAAGAGCTCAGGGACAGTGCCCAGACCCAAAGTTCAAGCCCTATGACTGATGGAAAAAAAAAATTCAGTTCTATCCAAGTGCTAGTGGCTCACATCTATAATCGTGGGTGCTCAGAAGGCTCAGATCTGAGGATCATGGCTCAAGGCAAGCCCAGGTAGGAAAATCTGTGAGACTTATTTTCAAATAACCACCGAAGAGCCAGAAGTGGAGTGGTGGTAGAACAGTATCTTTGAGTGAAAAAGCTCAAAGATAGTCTTTAGGCCCTGAGTCCAGGCTCCAGGATGGGCACCAAAACAACAACAAAACACCTCAGGGACAGAACACAGGCCCTGAGTGCAAGCCCCAGGACTGGCACCAAAAAACATCAGTTCTAGGCACTAGGAATGTACCTCAGTGGTAGAGCACTAGCTTAGTAGGGGCAAGGGTTTGATCTCTGTCATCATACACACACACACACACACACACACACACACACAGAGTTCTGTAGTTGTAATAGTCACTAGAGAAGAGATGAGCTGAAGACAGAGTTACAGCAAGTCTGTGCTGGGCACCCTCAGTAGCTGCATGTGGCTATTAATTCCTAGTGATTACTATATTGGACAATGAAGAATAGGCTGAGGAAGCTGGGTGCTGTTGAGTCATCCCTGTAATCCTAACCACTCAGGAGACTGAGATCTGAAGATTGCAGTTGAAAGCCAGCCAGCCAGGACAGTCCATGAGATATTATCTCCAGTTAGCCAGAAAAAAAGCTGGATGAGCCACTAGGTGCTGGTGGCTCACATAGGTAATCCTAGCTACTCAGAATGCTGAGATCTGAGAATTATGGTTCAGTATTTGAGCAGGGAAGTTTGTGGGACTCTTATTTTCAATTATCCACCAGAAAGCTGGAAGCAGAACTGTGGCTTATGTGGTAGAGTGCTATCTTTGAATGTAAAAGCTAGGGGATAGTGCCCAGGCCCTGAGTTCAAGCTCCAGTACTGGCACCAAAAAAGAGAGAAAAGCTGGCTAAGCCTGGTGGTGGTGCTAAAATACTAGCTAGTCAGGAGGCTGAGATCTAAGAGTTGAGGTTTTTGGGTTTTTTTTTTGTTTTTTGTTTGTCAGTTGTGGGTCTTGAACTCTGGGCCTGGACATTGGCTCTCAGCTCTTCAGATCAAGGCTTCAGCTCTACCACTTGAGCCACAGCTCCACTTCCAGTTTTCTGGTGGTTAATTGGAGATGAGTCTCATGGGGGTGCTGGGAAGGAGGCTCAGTGGTAGAGCGCTTACCTTGCCTGCATGAGGCCCTGGGTTCGATTCCTCAGCACCACATGAGCAAAAAGAAAAAAGCCAGAAGTGGTGCTGTGGCTCAAGTGGTAAAGTGCTAGCCTTGAGCTGAAGAGCTGAGGGACAGCGCCCAGGCCCAGAGTTCAGGCCCCATGACCGGACACCCCCCCCAAAAAAAAGAGTAGAGTCTCATGGGGGGTGGGGGCTGGGAAGGTGGCTCAGTGGTAAAGTGCTTGCCTCGCATGCATGAGGCCCTGGGTTCAATTCCTCAGTACCACATAAGCAGTAAAAAGACCCCATGACTGACAAAAAGAAAAAAAAGTCTCACGGACTTTCTTGCCTGGGGTGGCTTTGAACTGTGATCTTCAGTTCTTAGCCTCCTGAGTAGCTAGGATTACAGGCGTGAGCCACAGACGCCCAACTGAGAGTTGAGATTTTGAGCCAGCCCAGGCACATGAATCTGCTAGACTCTTATCTTTAGTTAAGCAGCAGTGGTGTGACTCAAGTGGGAGAATGCTAGCTGTGTGTGTTTGGGCAGGGGGAGGGTGCCAAATAAAGGGCTTTGAGTTCAAGTCCCATACTGGCATAAAACAACAACAACAAAACCAGGTGTAGGAACAGCTGGCTAGTGTGTGTGTGTGTGTGTGTGTGTGTGTGTGCGTGCGTGCGTGTGCGCATGCTGGCCATGGGGGCCAACCTGAGTACTGTCCCTGAGTCTTTTTGCTCAAGGCTAGTTCCCGGTCACTTGTGCCACAGTTCGACTTCTGGTTTTTTAGTAGTTAGTTGGGGGTAAAAGACTTTCCTGCCCAGGCTGGCTTCAATCTGTGGTCCTCAGATCTCAGCCTTCTGAGTAGCTAGGATTGCAGATGTAAGCCACTGAAATATGGTTCTTGAGAAAGAGTGGTATGAACAGGCAGCAAGCTTGGCAGAGAAGACCAGGTAGAGGTGCCAGGAAGGAGAGTGACACCTGGGAACATTCATGTAGGAAGAGGATGAGCTGGGGACAGAGGGTCAGCAGATCTGTGCTGGAGGCCCCTATGAAGAGTTACAGGGCAGTGGATTTGAGAAAAGTTAGGAAGGTGGCCTTAAGGGTCATATGCCTTTGCTCTCCTAAGCTTCTTTGCCTTTCTGTTGTAGGAGCAGAAAGGGCCATTACCCTGAAGATGGAGATTCCAGGTCCGATGCCCCCTCTGATCCGAGAGATGCTGGAGAACCCTGAAATGTTTGAGGACGACTCCTCGCAGCCTGGTTCCAATCCCAAGGCCTCGAGCGAGGATGAAGCTCCTGGAAACCAGGGCAAAGGGGACCAAAGTCCCCAGCCTGACCAGGGCCCCTGACCTCCCCCTCTGTGGGGCTGGGCTCCAGGCAGCAGACTGACCATCTCTCAGACACTGCTAGTGAATGGGAGAGGACATGCTCTGCCCTCTCCCCACCTTTCAGTGAGCTCCTTGTTTTTTGCCAAAGTTTCCAGGGGTGCCTTTGTGCTCATCCCTGCCCCATTCTAGCTGGCTCTCTCTCCAGTCCTGGGAGCTTGTTCTGCTCCCACCAAGAGAGAGGGCAGAAGGGTGAGCCTGGGTCTGGACTCTAATCTCAGCACTGCCCCCATCAGATACCATGTCCTAGGCTCCCCAGGGCAGGAGGAAGAAGACCCTGCCATCCCACGGCCCCTTCCTCTGCCAGGTGCTTGGGCCACTGAGAGCCAACAGGAACACTAGAGACCAAAAGGGCGGGCCCTTGGAGAAGTCTGAGCCCACCCTCTTGCCTTGGTGCCTGATGCTGTGTAATGCACCTGCCCATGCACACTGCCCTCTGTGCCTTGTCCATGTGCCAGGTGGGAATGGGGGGGAGAGGCTGGGACTTGCCTTTCTGGGGTGGGGCCTGAGGGTGAAATGACCCCCTCCCTGTGCCCTCCATCGCAAGCCCCTCCCTCAGCCCTGTCTCGTGCCTTGGGGTCTTCCTGTCCCCCTCCCATCTCAGCCATTGGGCAGGGACCCTCCTACACTACAGAAGGGCAGGGATCCCATCCTAGTGCCTTCTACCCTGGATCCCAACCCCACCCCAGAGCAGCTTGGCCCAGGGAGGGGAGATGCTGCTTAGCTGATCCCGCCCTGACCCAGAGGAAGCCTCTATTTATTTATTAGCTTTTGTTTACACCCTGGAATGACCCCTTCAGCCAGGGGTCTTGGGAGGGGGAGCCCAGGGCCTCTGTGATCCCTCCCTTCTTCCTCCAATCCCCAGTTTGTATTTAGCTGCCAAATAAGATTCCTGCCGGCTCTCCTTTTTCTCTGGGGGGTCAGGGTGCTGTCCCCACCCCTCTGTTTACATCTCCCCTCCACCCCGCTGTATCGCGTATTGCTGAGTTTTCTATTTTTGCAAAATAAAGAGATGGAAACTCATGGATCTGGCTGGAGGTGGAGTAGGGGAAGTGACCAGCTGACCTGGAGGGGGAGCTGGGAAAGGTGGGGGAGGGAGAGTTTCTAAATCCACTGGACTTGGCAATTTTTTTAGAAGGACAAAAAAAATAGGATGAAGTTGGGGCACTGGTGGCCTCGTGCCTGTATTTTCAGTTACTCAGGAGGACTGTAGTTCAAAGGCAGCCTGGGCAGGAAAAAAAAAAAAAACTGTGAGACTCTTTATCACCAATTAACACTAAAAAAGGAGGCCAGAAGTGGCTCAAGTGGTAGAATGCTAACCTTGAGCCAAAAAGCTAAGGGAGGACTGGGAATGTGGCTTAGTGGTAGAGTGCTTGCCTAGCATGCATGAAGCCCTGGGTTCGATTCCTCAGTACCACATAAACAGAAAATGCCAGAAGTGGCGCTATGGCCCAAGTGGTAGAGCACTAGCCTTGAGCACAGAGAGGCTCAAGGACAGAGCCCAGGCCCTGAGTTCAAGCCAAAACAAAACAACAGCCACAAACAAAGAAAATAGGATGGAGTGCAAAATAGGAGTAGGAAGAGGAGGTGCCTGACCACCCACAGTCACCAGATATGTTCCCCAGATATGTTCCCTACATGAACTAGAAGACAGGAGGAGGTACAATGAGGTTCCCTTCTGGAGGGGATAGGGAATGGGGTTTGAATCCAGGACCTGATATTTGCTAGGCAGGCACTCTGCCACTCAAACCATGCTCATAGTCCTGAAGTTTCATTTGGTTTTCACAAATGTCCCAAGCCCCCAAAGGGTATTCTGGCCCACATCTAAGCCATAATCTAGCTCCAGGTCTTCTCTCTTATTTTTTCTTGTACTGGTACTAGAGCTTTAACTTAGGCCCTGGGCACTGTCCCTTAGCTTTTTCACTCAGCTAGTTGGACTTTCCTGTCTTGGCTGGCTTTGAACCTTCCTTCTTAGATCTCAGCCTCCTGAGTAACTAGAATTTAGAGGCATGGGCCACCCATGCCCAGATGATTTGTTTTGAGATGGATCTTGCTAGGTAGCTGTAGGCTGCCCTGGAACTCATGATTCTTCCTCAGCTTCCTAAGTGCTAGGATTTTGAGTATGCACCACTGTGCTTGGCTTATTATGTTTCTATTTGATATCTACCCTTCTGCCCTCTGTGATGCCACTGGCACTTTGCGGCTCAATCCCGCCTCCTCTCAGCCTACTCTTCATTCCATGACTTCCATTCACTCCCAAGAGCCCCACCGTTGTCGTCCCTCCTCTACCTCTCCCTTCTGTAGGCCTTACCTCTTTACCACACCTTGGCAAGGCCTTTGCCTTGCACCGCCATGCCCGGCACTGCCTTGACCTTTAGGATCTGTGCACAACTCTTTCCTACTTCTTTGCTGGGATGATGCTTTGCTTACCTTGGCCCTGGATTTCTTCACTGGTGAAGGAAGGAGGTTGAGGATGTGAGATAGGAGAGTAGGGGGTGGGGACAGAAAGCAGAAGAAGAAAGTGAAAGAAAATTGAGAGGAAACCACAGGGCCTGTAACCCCTGGTTGTCAGTAGAAGGGTGGAATTTTGGATTTCCACAGCCCAAGGTAAACCCAAGCGCACACATAGAGGGAGCTTCTTTACCCAAGTTGCTTCTTCCCAGGAACTATACTTGAGAATCTACCTGCTTGAGCACCAGCCTAACATTGATACTATGCTGTGGCTGCTGTAGGGAGCCTGACAGCCAGTTCTTGCCCACCAGAGGGTTCCTTGTTTGTGTGTGTGTGTGTGTGTGTGTGTGTGTGTGTCTGACCTGGGGCTTGAACTCATGCTGTTCCTGAGCCTTTTTGCTCAAGACTAGCACTCTACCACTTGAGTCTCAGCTCCACTTCCTGCCTTTTTGGTGATTAACTGGTGATGAGTCTCAGATTTTCCTGCTCAGGCTGGCTTCAAGCTACTATCCTCAGATCTCAGTCTCTTGAGTAGCTAGGATTATAGGGGAGAGCTGCCAGCATCTGGCTTTCTAGGTCATTTCAAAGCTTCTTGTCATCAAGCATGGGTCAGGCATAAATTCTATTTTTTTTTCTTTTTTGCCAGTCCTACAGCTTGAACTCAGGATGTAGGTGCTCTCCCTGAGTTTCTTTTGCTCAAGGCTAGCACTCTACCACTTGAACCACAGCACCACTTTCTGGCTTTTTTTTAACAACTCCTTCCTACAGACTTTATGCTGCTTCAATCCCAGCTGCTGTTCCCAGCACTCTTTTTTCCTGGTATCTTGCTTCCTTTCCCAGGCTACATTACTATCTTGACTGCTCAGCACATCCCCTGTAATTGTAATTGCTAAGTGTCATTTCATATAATTCCTGCTGCAATCCTGTGCGTGCCACTTGGCAGATGAGAAGGCAGCCACAGGAAGGGCTAAGGAACTTAACTAAGGACTTTACTACTTCCTGGTAAGGAAGAGCCAGGGTTTGAACAGGGCAGATAGGCTCCAGAGCCCATGTAGATAAGTACACTGTGATACAATGGTCCCTGGGTTTTAAAAATGAACAATAGTCTCCAACTTCCCTCCTCTCTGCAGTACTTACTGCCTCCATGTTCTGCCTATCCTGTTCTTTCCCCTATGAGGAAGTAGAAAGATCATCAATTTTGGAAGGAGGTCAACTTGGATTTAAAAACCAGACCAGCCAGTGATGATGTTTCATAAAGTCCTTACTTTAAGCTGGGTGCAGGTGTCTCATGCCTGTAATCTTGGCTATTCAGGAGGCTGAGATCTGAGGATCACGGTTCAAAGCCAGACCAGGCAGGAAAAGTCCGTGAGACTCTTTATCTCCAATTAACCATCAGAAAACCAGAAGTGGTGCTATGGCTCAAGTGGTAGAGTGCTTTCCTTGAGCTGAAGAGCTGAGGGACAGTGCCCAGAGTTCATGCCCTACTACCAACAACAATGACAAAAAGTCCTTACCTTCTTGCTTCCAACCCTAAATCTGCATCTTTAAAATTGGGGTGGGGTAGGGGTGCCAGCATCATTAACTGTAACTCCAAGAGTCTAGTGCATGACATATGCTCAGTAGATGAGCACCTGCATCTTCTAGATGTCTGCATCATCCACTCTCTTGGTCCAGCCCACCTTTATCTGCTCCACCTTCTAGATCAGCCACCCTCAAGACTCCCCCACCCCAGGGCGTGTCACTTCCTCCTCTGCAGCCTCCAGATCAGTACACAAAGACTGCTGCTGCCAGAGGAAGGGCTGCTCTGCATGCACCTGTGAGTACTGGGGTACCAGACCTCTTGTCTCCTCACACGCCTAGGTCTATCTGGTCCTAGCCTCTTGGGAAGAAGGCTCTGATCTGGTCAATCAGAGGCTTGTCTAGTCTTGAGAAAGGCTTTGAGCTCCCCGCTGAATCCTAAGGTCACCTGTTCCTGTTCTTTCTCCAGTCTCTCTCTCTCTTTCTCCAACTCCCCATTGTTGTCTCCCCTACCTGCCTCATGCTAGCACTAGTACTGAGACTTGAACTCAGGGCCTTATAGTCCCACTCGGCTTTTCAAAAGGAAGGAGAATGTAAGAGGGTTGCAGGAGGGGTGTATGAGTGCTGCCACAGAGCGCCTGTCAGGTGTTAAGAGATATCGAGGGGGCTGGGAAGGTGGAGTGCTTGCCTAGCATGCATGAAGCCCTGGGTTCAGTTCCTCAGTACCACATAAACAGAAAAGGCCAGAAGTGGTGCTGTGACTTAACTGATAGAGCACTAGCCTTGAGCAAAAGAAGCTCAGGGACAGTGCCCAGGCCCTGAGTTCAAGCCCCAGGACTGGCAAAAAAAGAAAGAAAAAAGAGTTACATCAAGGTAGGCTTCTCCTGATCTTCCCAACTGCCATCTCTGGGGCCTAATGCCTTTTCCTCAGCTCAGGCCTCTTCCCACAGATGCCATACTCCTGAAAGGCTGTGGTCTAGCCTCTTGGTTCTGTTCCCTCCTTGTGACTCTTGAGTGGGCTGCAGAAGGGTTGTGCTGGGTTTGGGAGATGTGGATGGATGGGGAAAGGCTGTTTCAGTTACTAAGGGGGATGTTATGCTAGAACAGCCAGGGTGACCTGGTTCTTCAATACATGGGGACAATTTTACTTCAAGGCCTATGTTCCCTTCAAATGGAGAAGGTCCTTTTATTCCTTAATCCAATGACAAGCCAAGAGAGGCAAAGACAACTTCTCAATGAGGCAAGGTTTGACAATGTATATAAAAGCAGGATAAGGGGGCTGGGAAGATGGCTCAGTGGTAGAGTGCTTGCCTTGCATGCATGAGGCCCTGGGTTCTATTCCTCAGCACCACATAAGCCAAAAAAAAAGCCGGAGGTGGTGCTGTGGCTCAAGTGGTAGAGCGCTAGCCTTGAGCTGAAGAGCTGAGGGACAGCACCCAGGCCCAGAGTTCAGGCCCCACGACTGGACCCCAAAAAATAAATAAAAGCAGGATAAGCAAAAGATACATGAAAGTACAGACAAAATAGATATAAAAGAATACCCCAGCATAGAGTGCTAGTACCTAATCAAACATTGTGCATGACTGGGAGAAAACTGTACTGATGGCACAGAGACTTGTCCCCACAAGGTGGCATTCATAAGGCTCTGGAATGCTATCAAGCTAAAAATATTGAACTCAAAGGACTGATTATTTGGGCAGGGCCTCTGGGGGCCAATGCCTTTTCAATACTTGCAGAGTGAAGATAAAGTACAACAGATGTGTCTCAAGTGGCAGTTAGTAAGTATTGGTATTTAGTATCAGCTTTTGGAGGGAAAGGTCTGAGATATCAACTATCTCATTAGCATATTAGTATCCAGTGATCAATGTGGCTATTAGGCTATCAGTGACTGTCAGTAGCTAGACACTAGTAGTTCATGCCTATAATCCTAGCAACTCAGGGAGGCTTAGATCTGAAGATCAAGGTTCACAGACAACCTGTGCAGAAAAGTCCATATGAGACTTATCACTAATGAACCACCAAAAAGCTGGAGTAGAGCTGTGACTCGAGGCATAGAGCACCAGCTTTGAGCAAAAGAGCTAAGGGAAAGTGCCCAGGCTCTAAGTTCAAACCCTAGTGCCTGCACAAAGAAAAGAAAAACTACCAGTGACTGTCAGCCTGCTACTTAATTACAACTTGTATTACAACAGAAAACTAAAAAAAAGGGGCTGGGAAGGTGGCTCAGTGGTAGAGTGCTTGCCTTGCATGCCTGAGACCCTGGGTTCGATTGCTCAGCACCACATAAGCAAAAAGAAAAAAGCCGGAAGTGGTGCTATGGCTCAAGTGGTAGAGCACTAGCCTTGAGCTGAAGAGCTGAGGGACAGCGCCCAGGCCCAGAGTTCAGGCCCCACGACCGGACCCCAAAAAAAAGAGAGAAAAAAAAAAGAAAACTAAAAAAATGAACTAGAGTGGTCAAAGGATGGTTGTATTAATTGTAATTAAAATATCAATTTTGAAGCCAGGTGCTGGTGGCTCATACCTGTAACCCTAGCTACTCAGGAGGCTGAGGTCTGAAGATTGTGGTTCAAAACCAACCTGGACAGGAAAGTCCGTGAGACTCTTATCTCCAGTAAGCTACTCAGAAAAAGCCAGAAGTGGCACTGTGGCTCAAGTGGTAGATTGCTAGTCTTGAGCACAGAGAGGCTTAGGGACAGAGCCCAGGCCCTGAGTTCAAGCCCTAGAACTAGCAAAAAAAAAAAAAAATTTTTTTTTGGAGATAAGGATGTAGTTCAACAATAGAACACTTGCTTTATCCTGTGTTTGAACCCCAGAACTGGAAAACAACAACAACATTTTTTTTTTTTTTGGCCCGGTCATGGAGCCTGAACTCTAGGCCTGGGCGCTGTCCCTCAGCTCTTCAGCTGAAGGCTAGCACTCTACCACTTGAGCCACAGCGCCACTTCCGGCTTTTTTCTTTTTGCTTATGTGGTGCTGAGGAATCGAACCCAGGGCCTC